AATACAAACGCTCTCTGGAGCTGTTAAGTTATTCTTTTTTAAAAAAGTGATTTGCATGGAAATTGAACGATGCCCACCTGAATCATTAATGGCTCAAGGAAGAAATAATGGAAGAAATTAAAGACTTTCTAAAATTCATTGAAAATGATCACACAACATACTCAACTTTATGGGAAACAATGATAGCATTGTTAAGAAAGTTCATAGCATTTATGAATTAACAGAGCATTTGAAAACTTTAGGAAAAAAAAGAAGCAAAAAACCCCCAGAAGAACTAGAGAGTGGGAAATAATCAAATTGAGAGCTGAAATCAACAAAATGGAAACAAAGAAAACAATACAAAGAATCAATGAGACAAAGAGTTGATTCTTCAGAAAATCAAAAAGAAAATAGGAAAAACTTTATCCAAATTAATCAAAGGGCAGAAAGAAAAATATCCAAATTAACAAAATGAGAAATGAAAGGGGGCGCAAAACAACAGACTCGGAGAAAATACAGAGAATCATCAGGTCATATTTCGAAAACTTGTACTCCACAAAATTGGAAAACTTAAAGGAAATGGAAAAATACCTGGATAAATATTTCTGGATAAATACCACTTACAAAAATCAAATCACAAACAGATAAGCAAATTAAATAGAGTTAACTGCTGAAGAAATAGAAACAGTCATCAAAATTCTCCCAACGTAAAAAAGCCCAGGACCAGATGGTTTCAGCTCAGAATTACACAAGATTTTCAAAAAGAGGTAAATACCATACCCCTCAAATTGTTCCACACAATAGAAACAAAAGAAACATTGCCAAAGTCTTTTTATGAGTCTACAATTACCCTGATACCCAAACCACAGAAAGACATTGCTAAGAAAGAGAATTAAAGACCAATCTCACTCATGATCATTGCTGGAAAAATACTAAATAAAATACTGGAAAATCGAATCCAAGAACACATCAGAAACATCATCCACCACGATCATGTTGGCTTCATCCCAGAGATGCAGGGATGGTTCAACATATGAAAATCTGTCAACATAATCCACCATATAAACAAATTGAAAAATAAAAATCACATGATTATCTCATTAGATGCTGAAAAAGCTTTAAAAAAACCAGCATCGCTTCATAATTAAGTTTTGTGGAGAGCAAAGATACAAGGAACATACCCAAACATAATAAAGGCAATATACAGTAAGCCAACAGCCAGCATCAAACTAAGTGAATTGAAACTCCCAGCAATTCCACTGAAATCAGAAAAAGACAAGGTTATCCACTCTCTCCATATCTATTCAATATAGTTCTTGAGGTCCTAGCTAGAGCAATAAGACACCAAAAGGAGATCAAGGGGATATAAATTGGAAATGAAGAAGTCAAATTCTCACTGTTTGCTGATGATATAATAGTTTACATAAGCGGTCCCAAAAATTCTACCAAGGAACTTCTACAACTCATGAACACTTTAAGTAATGTAGCAGGATACAAGATCAACTCAAAAAAATCTGTAGCCGTCCTGTACACAGATGATAAAAGGGCTGGGAAGGAAATCAGATAAACAACACCCTTCACAATAGCCACAAATAGCATAAAATATTTCGGAGTAAATCTAACCAAACAAGTAAAAAAGCTGTATGAAATAACTTTTTTTTTCATGAAATAACTTTAAATCTTTGAAGAAAGAAATTGAAGAAGACACCAGAAAGTGGAAAGATCTCCCGTGCTCTTGGATAGACAGAATTATCATAGTAAAAATGGGAATCTTACCAAAATTAATCTACAGATTCATTGCAATGCCCTTCAAAATCCCAACAAAATACTTCAAAGACCTTGAAAGAACAGTATTCAACTTCATATGAAAAAGCAAAAAACCCAAGATAGCCAAAACAACCCTGTATGATAAAAGAACTTCTGGAGGCATCACAATCCCTGACTTCAAAGTCTACTACAGAGCTACAGGACTGAAAACAGCCTGGTATTCGCATAAGAACAGATAGGAGGACCAATGGAACTGAATCGAAGACCCGGATATTAATCCATACACCTTCAAACACCTGATTTTTGACAAAGAAGCAAAAAATATCAAATGGAAAAAAGAAAACATATTTAACAAATGGTGCTGGCATAACTGGAAATCAGCATGTAGAAGAATGAAAATAAATCCATATCTATCAACATACACAAAACTCAAGTCCAAATGGATCAAAGACCTCATCATAAAGCCAGCCACACTTAACTTTATAGAAGAGAAAGTGGAAAAAGATCTTCACTAACCCCATTTCAGACAGAGGTCTGATCTCCAAAATATACAAATAAATCAAGAAGTTGGTCATCAAAAGAACAAATAATCTAATAAAAATTTGGAGTACAGTCCTAAACAGAGAACTCTCAACAGAGGAATCTAAAATGGCTGAAAGACATGTAAGAAAATGTTCAATATCCTTAGTCATCAGAGAAATGCAAATCAAAACAACTCTGAGGTTTCATCTTACACCGGTAAGAATGGCCAAGATCAAAAACACTGGTGAAAACTTATGCTGGAGAGGCTGAGGGGAAAAGGGAACACTTCTGCATTGCTGGTGGGAGTGCAAACTGACACAAAATCTTTGGATACCAGTGTCGCAATTTCTCAGAAAATTAGGAAACAACCTTCTTCAAGATCCAGTAATACCACTTTAGGGTTTATATCCAAAGAATGCTCAATCATGCCACAAGAACATGTGCTCAATGATGTTCATAGCAGCATTGTTTGTTATAGCCAGAACCTGAAAACAACCTAAATGCCCCTCAACCAAAGAATGGGTAAGGAAAATATGGTACATTTACACAGTGGAGTACTACACAGAAGAAAAAAAAAACGACATCCTGAATTTTGCAGGAAAATGGATGGATCCAGAAAATATCATATTGAGTGAGGTAACCCAGACTAAGAAAAACAATTATCACATGTGATCACTCATAAGTGGATTTTAATCATAAACCAAAGAAAACCAGCCGACAAATCACAATCCCGGAGAATTTAGACAACAATGAGGACCCTAAGAGAGACATATAAAATCTAATCTACATGGTATGTAGAAAGAGACAAGCTCTTCTGAGTATATTTGGAGTTTGGGGACCTTGGGGGAGATTTAAATGGGAGTGGAGAGGCTGTGAGGGAAGCAGAGAAAAATGTAGAGCTCAATAAAAATCAATAAAATAAAAAAATCAAGGCAACGTGTCACAGATGAAACAGGTTAACTGCTAAGGTCTGCTTTTGTATGAGACTTTTGCTTGCTTGGATGGTTGAAGCATCTGCAGGATGTCTGTTACAAGATCAAGCTTTGGCCACACCCAGACAGGATATGAGTTAATTTGGCTCCCCAAAATTTTAACTTTGTGGGTTTTTTTCCCTTTATAATCCTTTTGATAACCATGGCCAGGGCCTTACCTAGAGAACTCTTTCTGGTTTCTTCCTAGCCGGTGTATTTCTAGTTAAAAGCCTCTAATTTATTAAAACCTAAGTGTTAAGTTAGGCTGGTAAATCTCTAAATGACCCGGGACCCACAAGAAAAGGGTAGTTTTCCCAACAGGTGCCCACAGCTGGGCTACCAATCTCCAGTGGGAATCTCTACCACTAACTCTGCTATAATGGCCACGCCACAGGCTTAGTAAGTCCGACCTAAAACAGCTTGGTCTATCTGCCACCTTCTCTAAAGGTCCACCCCATTGTTTCATGCAAACCATCCATTTCTAGGAATGGAAACTGAAACCAATTCTGAGTGCAGCCCCTTCTCTGGGGGTGGTTTGTATAACCAGAGTTCATACCTAACCAGGAAGTTGTAGACAGAAAGGGCTGTGTGTGAACCAGGAACAGTAAGGTAATTTGGGGGAAGATCTGGGAACGGTGAGGTATCTTGGGGAAGATCTGGCTGTTCATTCCTGTGTTCCTCCTTCCTTTATTCAGTTCTTCCTAGGACACAGAAGACCACACCTCACCTCTTTTCTTCCTGAACATCCTGAGTCTGAATTCCAGTTCTAGAGCGTTCCAAGGCAACTTCCCTTGCTGCAGTGCATAGACCTCTCCTAAGAGGAGAGCTTTCCCAGAGCCGCCATTGCCCTCAGATCAAGGCCACCACTGCTGAGGTGAGTGAAGGGTTCTAAGTTCAGCTTGGCCAATAGCCCTAGAAGTGTGATAGCATGAGCAGGGGAGCACTGACTCCAGGGCAGGAGGGCGTGGGGATTTCAGACAGGGAGCACTCACAGCAGCATCCTTCTGTGCCATCTTCTGGGCCACAGAGCATCCTGAAGCAGACAAGCAGCAGCCCTTCCTTCCACCTGCTTGTGTGGACCTAGCTGGTCTTCTGAAGTAGTCGAGCTTGGAGGAAGACAGCAGGTTGGAATATCCAGATGCTCTTGGAGTCTTTGCTGTACCCCATGGAGAAAAAAATCCCAGATGAGAAACAACCATCCACAGTGTCTGGCAGAGCAGTTGAGCCCCCTGGCTTTCAGGAATCTGCTGCTGTCAGACGGTTGTTATTCTGATGGCTCCATCTTACACTTCCTGTTGTTTCTCTCTGGCAGTTTGCAGACATTTGGCCCTGTATTTTCAGGGGGTTTAACTGTGATACGACTTCAGGAGTTTCTTTTTTGCCCTTTGTATCTGGAGATCTACATGTCTTTGTATCTGTTTGGATGTGCATTTCTCTCCCTAAATTTGGAGACATTCTTGCTAGGATTGGTTGAGAATATTTTCTGTGTCGCTGGAATGGAGTTCTGCTCTGTCTCTGCAGATGTGTTTCATGGTGTTCCCAAGGTCACACATGTTCTGCTCATGGGCTTTTCAATTTTTATGGTCTTTTCTGACCAAGTCTTCCCATTCGTCCACATAGTCTTCAATTTCTGATATTCTGTCTTCTATATGATCCACTCTGATGGTGTGTCTTTGTTCTGAGCATTAGCTTTAATGCATTTTTCAGCTCCAGCTTCATTTAAGTCAAGATTTTGCTCAGTATTTCTCATTATTGAATTCTATTTTCATGCCCTGTGTTGACTTGTCTTTAATTAAAAAATGATTGCTTGAATCTTCTTTCTCTGATCACATTTAAATCATCCTTGTGAATTCTTCACCTGGAACTTTATCTAAGTCTTTCTCATGAAGATCGTTACTCTGGAGTTTGTAGTTTTTAGAGGAGATGAGCTGTCTTGGGTTTTCATATAACCAAGTTTTTGTGTTCGTATATGCTTAGATCACTGGGTGGATTTTCTTTTGTATATATTTACTGCCTTACTTATTTTATAATCGGAAGCAGTTGGGTGGGCTTTGACGATTCTGATACATGGGGTGGTCAACAGGGGTCAGGTGAACTTGGATGTCTAAGGCCTAAAGGGGGGAATGCTGACCTCTCTTGGGGAATAGGTGGATAGACAGCTGGCAAGTCTGACAGGCCAGGTAGTGGATGGGCAAGAGGCCTGGCAGGCACTGGATCTGTGGGATCTGAAGTCTCTGAGGGACAGGAGACCGCCTCATGGGGTGGGTAGTGGGTATGCAGGAAGGTTGACAACCACCAGTATTAATATGTAAGTGTTAATCTCATGAAGCAGGCAGCTGGTCAGGCGGGCTCTGATCAATGTTTGGAGATAATGTCCTGCAATGTAACCCTGGCTGGCTTAGGGACATCACTGCAGTGTCCTTAGATAGATGTTGTGAATTACATTCTTTGGAGGATGGTCTCCTCAAGTGCCCTTGCCTCTAACAGTAGTCTTTCTTCCTTTTTCAATTTTGAATTTATTTAATTTAAATATTTGTCACAAAGCGAGGGTCCTTTTGTTTAATACAATATAAGAGCATCCTTCTCCCTCTCCTCCCTGCTGTCCCTTCC